ACGTAGATATTAAATGAATTACTACCGTTTCATTTATCTCTTGAGTTTAACCCTGTGTGTGAAGGCTATATGAATCTTTATCAGAAAAGTATTTCGCATCACGGTTTGTAAACAAAACTTATGGGGAAGAGAAGTGGTTATTTGCGCTTTTTACCATGTAAACTTAATTAACCCAACCTAAAAAGCAATTTAAAACATACGTTAGCCTAATTATTAATACCTGAGGTCAGATAGATTGTTGAAATGTGTGAGCCATCTGAAATATTAAACGTTTTAGTGTTCTAAACAAATAAAGGCGCTAAAGTTACTTGTGAGCTCATTGGAGTAATAAAACGCAGTTTAATGCGTCGGACAATCGATTGAAAGTAAATGTAGGGTTCGATAGGTAGTCATATGTTTCTGTTTGCTACATTATTAAATCTAGAAGGCCTTATGTTCTCATTCTGAAAATCTTATTTTTTGAGCTTCGTGTTAAGATTTAAACCAAGTTAAGTCTTATTTGGGGAGCCATATAGGAACAGAATGACCTGGCCTAAATCAGAGACTAATTTCAGAAAAGTTTTGCAGCTAAAGTTTTAAGTAGTATATTTTATAATAATACTACTGGTTTATAATAGTGCAATATTTCTGAAGCTATAAGAAGAGATTATAATATCTGTGAACCTGATTTCTCCTTGTTTATGTAACGAATTTTAGATGAATAAGTGATTTTATTTGCTGCTATAAATTGGATGAGTTTCAATAGCAGGTGTTCATCATAACATGATAATTTTCATTTATTCCTTTAATATTTACCATTAAACATAGCACATCGTCGTCTTTTTGTTACCCGTGTTTGTGTACATTTTCTTCGGTGTTGGAGAGGCTAAGTTAAGAGATGATTGCACTTCAATTTCTAATGTAAATAATAAAAGTACTTAACACAAAATAATTCCAATTCTTGAGCATCGAGCAGAAATATTTTAAGCAGCTGTAGATATGATCTTGGTATGCGGAAAAGTCTAAATATTTACTCTTTAATTGGTGGGGTTCTTTATGGAGGTCGCTCTACTACTAATCGCCGCTCGATCGGTATGTGTTTCACTCGGCCGTCAGGGAGTGGCATGACGCAACGAGAAGACAGCGAACGTTTACTATACCTCCCGGTTGCCCGTCGTCGAGAGCCGGCAGTCGGGGCCCGCCGACCCTTGTCGCCCGTCCATCAGAGCTCGCAGTCGGAGTCCGTGTCCAGTACTAAAGTGGCGAAGCGGGCGAGTTGGTTCGTGATATAAAATTTAAAAGCGCTAACGAAGACGAGGACAAAAAGGAAGGCGAGGACAAAAAGGAAAGCGCTCGTCCTGTTTGCCTTCCTTTTTGTCCTCGTCTTTGTTAGCGCTTTTAAATTTTATATTCCGTGTCCAGGCCTGCGGATCACCCTTCCCACGCCAGCGCTGCGTAGGCTGTCTGTCCCTGGCTATCATATTCCGAGTCTCGCTGAGGAATCACCCCGGGATATTCATAGCCGAGGTTGGTATGGGCAGAACTTGCCGTTTCCACCGGTCCCCCTGCAAACCTCACTGGTGGACCGCTCCGGGGTTCGCCATGGGCCAGGCCAGGCAGCCCGGCTCCGTCACTCCTGCCCAGCTCCAGCCTCGTTCAGCACGCACTGTCCCGCGCCACCTTGGCACTTCTCCGCCGACGGCCTGTCACGTGCCCTCTGCCTCGTCTTTCACCCTCGGCTCCAACACTCTCGCCCCTCAAGGCCCGGACTTCGATGGACTTCCAAAACATGGGACTTCATGGGCTTAAGGGAGCAGTTTTTCCACGTCGAGGCACGGGGGAACAGGTGGACACTCTGGTCGGCGCCGTGTGAGATGTTGAAGAGGCGGCCGCTGTTGTTGCTGGACTGGCCACGTTGCAGCGTCCGAAGGCGGCGTAGGTGGTAGTGGGACCCTCGGCGTCGGTCTTTCTTGGTGCCGGCATCAGCTGGCTCTTCTAGCGATGCCGGCAGACAATGCCGACCTGTCCGTCGCTCGCTGTCCCACTCACCGCGATGCAGCAGAGGGCTTGCTCTAAGCTGGTTCGCCCGACGCGGACAGACTTGCCCCGTTCCGCTTAGAGGTCGCAGCGGGCTTAGAACTGCCCGCCTGAACCGTTCGTCAGGCCGAACAACTGTCAGCCTTCCTGAGCACTTGGGAAAACGAATGGGCCCGTGTTTCCTCACGGTGGGCTTCCTGGGTTACGCCGTCTATGGCCGTCTTTCCAAGAAGCTATTCTGCGCAGAACAAAGTTAAAACAACACACAACGAACAAATACTCTGCCGCAGATAGTGGTAGTGGCCATTGCCTCCGCCGCCAAATTGCTTCCCGAAGGGTTTGTGTACCATGCGGCTAACTCGGCGAGTCCGCATTCCAGAGCTCGCTCCTGGGTTGCCAGGAACAGGGGATTTCTTGTGTCCTACTGCAATCTCATGTTAATCGTCTTCCCCATCGCGACGGCGGTAATATCCTTTCAAGTCAGCGTTGTGAACCGGGCAAGCCTCCCCTTTTATATCTCGCCGAGTAAGCCTAGAAGTAAGACACGAGGCTCGCGTCTTTATACCTCGGGTGCCCTTCTCACCTTGAAGCAAGCGATGCGGTGAAACCACTAGCTGCGTTGCTCAAAGCGTGAGTTTCCTTCAGAACAGGTAACGATGGGGTAAACCCAGTCCATTTTTTGCGCAAGCGAAGGGATTGAAAACCTGTGGCGGGATGGCCATATACCATATATCCGCGTTCCGCAACGGCTACATATACCATGTGCTACTCGATGTGAGCGTCAGCGTCCTGTTCCGTTCACGTGCATACGAGCTCTAGGGACTGACCGGTCCTAGGAGGGGGCGGCAGCTCAGCGAGCGAGCCCGCTTGAACCGTTCACGCCTCAAGGCAAGCTGGACAGCTACAAGCCACCTAAATGTCTACCGCCTCATCCCCGGCCAGGTCGTGACGTGACATACCTTATTAAACGTCTTGCCGTCACTGCCACGACCGGCCACAGTAAAGTCGCAAAAGAATCCTTTCAGTCGGCTCTGTAGTTTTCTATAGGGACGACCCCCTGAAGGAAGAGCCGTTCCTCTACCCTTCGTCGATTGTTGGAATGACGCGAAGCAACTAGCCGTCTTGGCCCAGCAGTTACAAATCATTGGCTCATTAACTCGCCTGCCAGCGTTCCCGGTGTCAACTGCAATTTCCGCCAGTTTACCCAACACCCACTGACAATCTCGTCCGCAGTGTTCCCGGTGTAAACTGCCATTTCCGCAATCTCTCCGACGCCCACTGACAAAAACCCATCTGCACCCTGGGTCTCGAACAGCGCTTACTTGCCTACCGCATCACCCCAAGGCTAAATCGCAAATCTTCAATGAGTCCTGGCTGTTTCTCCTACTACCAGTCGTTATCCTGCCTTCCAGCGAGCATGCCGTGCCTCTCCTCTGCCTCCGAAGACGACTTTCTTACATCTTAACCGCGCTCTTCATCTTGCACCCGGCTGCATCACCTCCTGGCCACCACTATTCTGAAGTACCCGAGAAAACGCGTCCTCAACCTCGTCCTTCGAGCCCTTTAAGTACTCGATTCGAGGAGACACCTGCTGAGCTCTGCCGTGAGGCAAGTCGTCAAAATTCCACCATACTTTGCTTCAACGGGCATCGTTAGCGTTAGTGAACAACCCGCTCAACGAATCCGTGGGACTCCCTGGGGACGGCTGGAAGCAGAGGCATACCGAACGGGGCCCACGTTGGGCGCCATTTTAATGTGGGGTTCTTTATGGAGGGCGCTTTACTAATAATCGCCGCCCGATCGGTATGCGTTTCGCTCGTCACCCGGGGAGTGGCATAACACAACGAGAAGACAGTGAATGGGTTCAATAGCTCCCGGTCGCCCGTCGTCGAGAGCCGGCAGTCGGGGCCCGCCGACCCTTGTTGTCGCCTGTCGATCAGAGCTCGCAGTCGGAGTGCGTAGGCTGGCTGTTCCGGGCTATCATAGGCCGAGTCTCCCTGCGGAACCACCCCGGTATCGTCATAGTCCAGGTCGGTATGGCCAGGGCTCGCCGTTTATTACTGGTCCGTCTCCAAACCTCGCTGGTGGACCGCTCCGTGTTCGCCATGGGCCAGGCCAGGCAGCCCGGCTCCGTCGTTCCTGCCCAGCTCCAGCCTGGCTCAGCACGCACTCCCTCGTGCCAGCTCGTGACTTCTCCGCCGACCGCTTGTCATGTGCCCTCTGCCTCGTCTTTCACTCTCGGCTCCCACAAATTAAGATTTACAAATTATATCGATTATAATTTATAAAGAAGGGGAACAAAAATCCCATAAACAAACACAAATCTCCAAAAATAAAAAGATTTGTGTTTGTCTTTTCTCCCCCTTGTTCCCCTTCCCCAGGGAATATTATGTTGTAATTTTTGGGTTGTTTTTTTTTTTTTTTGTTTTTTTTTTTGTCAAGCTCGCTGCACCTTTGAATTGATTGCTTTATCATCAGTGACAATGGTGCCGTTTTTGATATATTGTTTTCATATAAATCACAATATTCTTTAATTTTCAAGGGTTATTATATATTCTACTTATTTTAATTTTGTATGATATATAAATCATTATATCCTATTTTTATAGAACTGTACTACCTTTTTTTTCCTTGTTCCCGCCTTCAAATCAAACTAAATCAATGTTTATTTTTTTCTTGTGCTAACCAACAGCTCAAAAGCCTACAGGGTTCAGCAGGCAGTATGTGAGAAGACCTCTTATAGGAGGGAACTACATATTATTAATTATACGGCATATTATTTGCACTGCAAAAGTGAAATACAGTATTCGGAGATTGTGTGACAACCGGTTCACCGCTATAAAATGCGTCACCCAAAAACAAAAAACGCGTAGTGAGAAGGTGAATTAGGAACATTCAATTGTATTACACTATATTTAATTAAAATTTTAGCTGTTTATACCTAGAAAATTTATTCTAATAGTCAAACTTTAATTATTTTTCAGTGGATGCATCCATGAAATCGTGCGATATGGTCAGAGCAAGCATTGATGCTACCGGTGTGGAATGCAACAAAGAGTTTAGCAGAATGTGTGGATCATCGACAAAAATAATATCCACTACAGATGGCTGTAACGATGTCCCCACTCCTCGATGCAGTGAGACATCACAACCTCCTTCAAGTGCTAACGAGCAGGTTTGATTACAACGTGATTGTGAAAAAAAAAACGTAACATCACGACAATAAACAATACCTCGAAGGTATTGCAGTCTTTTCTATGTTTGTCTTGCAATCAGTTCGCATATTTTAAGCATTTTTGTATACCGTTAGGGTTGGCACAATCACTAATTACGGTAAATACAGGGTGTTTATTTTTACTTGCGACATGTTTAAAAAAAAGATGTGATCGGTGACCCTTACATGTGAGCTTTGTTCACGGTGTATTTAACTGGCTCGGCGGACGTTAGACGAAGCAATCTTCATCAACATCTATTGGCTAATGAACATTTTAAATATTGGATTTATGAGTAATGTTCGAATAGCAGTTTTAAAACCAAACGCTAATAACGGCTAGATATATTTAAAAAAATTTCGAAAAGGCAATCGTTTTTTTAGATATTCGTATGCCTCCGCATGTTTTTCTGCAGTTCAAGAAGTGCGGGCATAGAAGCGCGCCTGATTATTTAGAGTGGGACGGCCCTAAATATTACTGAGAAGAGTGACTGGCAATTTGTCGTTGTCTAGGCAGCGTCCGGCCCCACCAACGACGCGCTGCCGAGGTAAAAAAGAGGGAATCGGCTCGGGTGCGTCACTCTTGTACCAATTGATAATAGGGACTTCTAGCAAAGCGTTACCGTCTTCCGCGCACCGCACCGCAAGAGAATTCAAAGCATGCTTCTAAACGCGCGCCCCGAGTTCACGGTATCACCCGGGCGCGCGTTTAAAACCATGTTTCAAAGCCTCCGGTGTGCGGTACCCGGCACACGCTAACGGTTTGCTAAAGGACACCTTTGATGTGCTCTCCATGGGCACGCTTATTGAATTGCCGACAAACATTCATAAACGTATCACTAAATTTCTCAAAGGTCATTCCCTTTTCGCAAATTGTATAAATTGTGAGAGATCAACTTTCAAACTGCAATCGGAACATGGATCATAAAACCAATACTCAGAAAGTTCATTAGGTAACTTTAGTTAATTAGCTGACGTATCGTGATGAATTTAGCCACGTCTAACACCCGCCGAGTTCGTTAAATACGCAGTCAAAAGAGCACCCATGTAAAGGTCAACCACATTCTTTAATGCGTTAGCATTACAACGCTCGTTTCGACGAAAACCCTGCCGTGTCTTTCGTTTTCCAGTTGTCGCGCGCGACGCTCCCATTGGTCCGAAGCGCTGACGTGAGCACGCATCAACCCCTCCCTCTCTCCCCGGCACTGACAAACTGACAGACATCACCGGGTTTTCGTCAAATCGAGCCCTTTCGTTTTCGGCAAAGTCACGCGCAAAGTTGGCGCGGAGCCATACAGGCGAAATCGCCGCGCAACACATCCAGATTACAAAACCGTAGCGCTGAATAAGGTGGTTTAACCAGAGACGGCCAACGCAGGACACAGATTGAAACGAGTGCTGCGTCAGCACTCGGCTTTGAGTCGTCAAGTTTGAGCCGAACGCTGACGTAACCGTCGTGTCCAATCTGTCTCAGTTGAGACACTAGAGAGTTTTAGGATAGGGGGCCCCAAAGCTTGGGGGTCCCAAAGAAATAGGGACTCGCCACTGCGCATGCGCAGAACCCAAACTCTGTTTGGGGCTTTGGGTTGGTGCTTGGGCCCCCAGTTGCTTGGGGCCGGGTTCCATCGACGAACATGGCGGCACCCTTTCCGCTCGCTTCGGAGCGAATTCGTCATGGTCTCTGCAGTATTAGCCCATTTCAATGCCAATAAATAGTGCAACCGGCTTTCGCTTTGCTTTATCTCGCTCAAAACACAAAGAATGAGCGGTGAGCTCACCCCATTTTAAAGATCGTCACCGATTCTGGCCGTTTCTAAGCCTAAACATACTGTTGACATGGCAACGTATTGCTACCCCGTGGCTCCGAGTGGATTTCGTTCGTGGCACGATACCTGGAGCTTGAAAACAAGTATTTCAAGGCTTCAAAGTCGCTCCAGCTCAGATCTAAATAATAGTGCAGCCGCTCGCAGAGTATGCGCGCTCGCGTTCGTCTCAGTGTCGGCAGAGTTGAAGGCCTAAATCTTCGGTTGCAAATAGTCAAAGCGCAGACGAACGCCCAAAAAATTTTACAAGGAGGCATACTTAAAACAGCGTGCAAGCACAGGAGGAAGAAAATAGAACACAGGGAAGAGCGCTGACTCCCAACGTATGTATTGTGAAAAACAAATAGAAAGAGGAAGCTTCAGACATGAAGCCCACGCGCGCCCACAAGGTAAAAAGAAAGAATAAAAACAGGTACATTGCTAAGTTCCAGTAGAAAAGGAAAAAACTAACATTATAAGATCAAGACGAAAAAAAAAAGAGGAGAAAAAGAAGAAAAAAAACAACAACAACGTGGGCTTCATATCTGAAGCTTCCTCTTTCTCTTTCTTTCACAATACATAAGTTGGGAGTCAGCGCCCCTTCCTGTGTTCTGCTATCTTCCTCCTGTGCTTGTGCGCTGTTTTAGGTATGTCTTCTAAGTACCAGCTAGCTGATCAACTCTCTATGTTACTACGAGAACACGCGCCAAATTAGAGCGCTACGGATTAGATTGTTTCGGCTACACCCGAAGCGGGATGGCCGAACGAGTCGAGGCCGATCCAAGGTCAGAAGAAAATGGCGGAAGACAAGGCTCCCGCGCGCGTTCGCTTCTTGATCGACAACATAATTTACGTGCTACGCGAAACGTACGCCACTAACCCATTCCAGGATTTAGGAGATGGACTTCAATAGACCATTTGCTATACTACCCAAGCATCAAAGAGAATGCAGGTATTGGTGTTCCACGCGCCACACGCGCACGCCTCCCCCGTATAAAATATTCGAAGTAAATAACCAAAATAAAGCTTTGACGAACGTGCTTGCAAGATACAATTTGTTTTGGGTGTTTGCTTCAGAAAAGTTACAACTGATGACGCCAGCACGTGCGGCGCGTGGAACACCAATCCCTGCATTCTCCTTGATGCTTGGGTAATATAGCAATAGGACTATTGCCGAAAGGGTCTCCGAAGCAATCGGAAGAAATTTCTCCACGCGGGCCCTTCGCGACCGGGTCGACCTGCTGCTGGCACAGTTTAATACGAAGCAAAGATTTCCCGGTGACTTTTCGTAACGTTACGTAAAAATAAAAAAAAACTGGTCTGTGTGAACGAATTTTCCGCCACGGAGTTGCAATTGGCGACGTGCGCGACCGAAAGCGTCGCTGTGGTCGGCCTTCCACGATTGGCCCAAAAGCTGACTATGACGTCGGAAAGGGTATACCATCGACGGAAATAAGAGGAATGAAATAACTTTAATTTCGACGGTGTTGGTAGTGTTGCTTTGAGAGCGCAATGATTTCAGGCTTCCACCATGCTATTTACAAATACCATGGAACTTGTTGTTCGCAAGGTAATGACGTCACAAGGGGGAACCATAGGAGGGCGCCACCAAAACATCTCGCCGCTAATAGGCCCGTCTCTCTCAAGTAGAGTTCCTGTATAGGCTCCCTACGGAAGCCAGAGTTGCGCGTTCATGCATGGCACGTGGATACAGCTCCTCACGTGACTGAATTCGGCGAATAGCAGCGCCGCGCGTTCGAGGCACGCGGCGCGCTCAAAAGCCGGGGAAGATACGCCGGGGCACGAGCAACGTCTACTTTGCTGCACGACACTGGATACGGCTCCTCACGTGATCGGATCTCGGCGAATAGCGCCGAGGGCGGCACGCGGCACGTGGAATCAAACGCGCAACTCTGGCTCCCGTACCGCTCATTCACACTGGAAGCGGATCCGCGTTCACAAAGCGGTTGCGAACGCGGTTGTATAAAGATCCAGTACAATTGCACGCGCACTCGATGACATCAAGTACGCGTGCAATTGTACTGAATCTTTATACAACCGCGTTCGCAACCGCTTTGCGAACACGGATCCGCTTCCAGTGTGAATGAGCGGGTAGGGAGCCTATACAGGAACTCAACTCTCGAGCAGAGCCGTTTATTGAGAGAGTTTGGTCATACACTGGTTTGAAAAGGCGAGCATCTCGGGGCCAACCACAGGCCGCGAAACAGCCCCTAGCGGTGGTCATGGGCTCTAAATATGTGACACGACTAGTTTGAGCCGTTTTAGGGTCGCTAGAGTGAAAAGGTTTAGCTCTCGGCGACTGAAAACTTCGTGCTTGTGAGGTTTTAGTCACGCCAATATTCAAGTGTAGAATAAACGAACTTGCGCTCCAAACCGGGGCCGACTTGCTAGAAACAGCGTCTCAGCCAACCTTACTAGAACCACTCAGTTGGGAAACTGCCATAGAGACTGCTCTGAAAAAATGGCCCCGAACTGTCCTCGAGAACCGAGCTAATGGCGAACACAACGCCGCCATTTCTCCCGCAGCCGCCACTTGAGGAACTGCACGTTACTCCTATTTTGGCTTTAATCGGCCATTTTGGCGCCGAAACAGATACAGCGGAAGAGGTTACAGGGGTACCACCCCCGTCTCCCCAGCGGACGCGCCGCGAATTACTACCGAAGTTAAAATGCACCTAGATCGGGATGCGCTACCTGAAAGCACCGCTGAGGCATGGTTCTATAAAAACAATATTAATTGTTCCGCAAAGCCTTGCAAACTAAAGATTATAATAACATCACGCGCCCTTCCTTTTGTACTAAACTCCAAAACATTTCATACAAAAAGAGTCTTTTCCGTTTGTTTTTACGCAAAGACATGCTTTCTAAAAGCTCAATGTGACCACAGTACAGACAAATGATAAAGAGTGGCACTGTTGTCGTATATAGCTCGGTCTCCGTGGACGCCAGCGGCCCAGGTTTCGACGGCGAGTCTCCCAACTGAGTGTTTTAGTAACGTTGGTCTCAGCTGAGACGGGGAAAGAAAGCACTGCCAAAGCCAGCACACGAGCCGAGCGGGACTCCGCGTCTCAAGACGCTCGCGCGCCCCACCCTTTGCACTCCTTTCTTTCAGCCAGTCTCAGGATGCTGTTCTAGCAAGCCAACATCAGCAGTGCAGACAAAGGCATGGGCACGAGCGCGTGGCTTTGGCAAGTGCCTCCTATGCACGAGTTTTCGTACAAACAAAAGCGTCTTGCTGAGCTAGGCTCGCGCGCCTGTGCCTTTGTCTTCACTGCAGACATTTGTGAGATGGAGCAGAGAGGCCGGGATTGAACGCTTCTATTTAACGCTTTGAATGCCGTTTGCAATATTGTGACGTCGCGGTCTCCTGATTGGTCGACGCTGTGTCACAAATTTTGTTTACGCTCTAAGCGCGGGGGGAATATTCGGCGCTGGCGGCGGCCTTTGCTCCGCCTATTGGCCAAACTCTCCCAATACACGGCTCTGCTCTTAAGCTTTCAGCAGCGCTCCAGGCGAGCAAAATACAATATTTGGCTCGCGTTTCGAACGTGCGTCATCACGCTTCCCGACTACAGTTTTTTAAACTCCGCTCCATTCTGTATGTTTAGGCTTAGGAACGGCCAGAATCAGGTACGATCTTTAAAATGGGGCTAGCCCACCAGTCATTCTTTGTGACTTGAGTGAGATAAAGCAAAGCGAAAGCCGGTTGCACTATTCATTGGCAATGAAATTAGCTAATACTACAGCGACCATGACGAATTTGCTCCGAAGCGAGCGGAAAGGGTGCCGCCATGTTCGCCGATGGAACCCGGCCCCAAGCAACTGGGGGCCCCACGCTATTTCTCAAATGCGCGCCAACCCAAAACCCCCAACGGAGTTTGAATTCTGTGCATGCGCAGTGCTGAGCTCCTATTTCTTTGGGGCCCAAAGCTTTGGGACCCCCTATTATAAAAGTATCTATAACTGTCGTGCTGCTTTAGCTACAGGATGGGCTAAAAGCAAGCTACACCTACCAGCGTCATGCCTGTGATCGGGGAATGGCCCCGTCGAGTTCGCAGATAATTCCATTGGCGCACATGATAGCCTGGTATTTGAGGGCGTGCACTCTCTTGTGACCAGAGAGTAAATCTTCTGATTCAGAGGCGGTCGGCAGAAGGGTCTTGCTGTGCCGTTCCAACTGGTGTTACCCTCCCTATTATTTGAACCGCAAGCCACAATAAAGTGTCGTTTTAGCGCAAATATTTTGCGTTTTAATATTTTTTTACTGTTAAGAAGTTCGTTCGTTGTCCACAATGGCGCTGCATGCGAAAAAGGCGAGCGTGCCGCGTTGCGTCGTTTTCTACGCAATCACGTTTCATATGGATATCTTACAGGTTTCGGGTAAAATGTTATTGGGTAAAATATTTAAAGGACTATTGTTCAGAAACATTTTTCTTTTCTACATGACCAAGCAACGTGCCACTATTTAGCTGTTAATTCAAAGCTAACAATATACATGCTCTCACTTTGATAATAGTTTAAGTAAGCAGTCCAAATAGACGCTACTGTAAACGACTTTCTTTCCGCGAGCTCAATATTTTGTAAATTTCGGAAAGTCTGAGTTTGGAGAATGTTTCGGTGGCACAAAATTTCGCGATTTGGAGTGATAGACTAGGCGTTCGTTACAGCTGGCTGATATATTCACGAGACTAATTTTTCGCGGTAGATTTAAAGTCGCGAAATTTACAAAAGTTCGGCCCTCGCGAAAGTTTCCAAGCAGCACGAATCTACTATGAACGTCCACAGGACATCCATGGAACGTTAAGATATTTTAAAGACATTCCCAGGACTAAGTGGGCTACTAAGTTTAAGTCGTTGACATCATAAGTGTATGTTAAGTATGCGCCAGAGGTTCCGCCTCCAGCTCGAGCTTTCTACATACGGTATGCACTCAGGAGTCACTTATCATTCCAAGCCAAGTTGCGTAGACAGGCAACGAACACGTGCTGGGACTCTAATGTGGACAATTGGCAAAATAATCGGCCAGGCATCCGGCGGTCGTGATTGGCCTGCATGCAGATTGGCCTGCACCATGCTTGATCTTGGCGCCTACCAATCACGACGGTCAAATTTCTCGCCGACGTTTTTGCCATGTGTCCATATCAGAGCCCCTGAAGGCAGAACTTTTGTCGCATTTTTACCTTGTATCTGTCCAATAGCAAGTTCCATTAAAACCATTGGGGTAAGCACGGACAAAATGACTGCATTCGAAGCATGTTAAAACGACTCGAGACATGTAACCTTTATTTCAAGCCAGACACACTTCATCGGGCCGAGAGAGTTCGATACTTTTCAAAGGCAGTCTCCAGTGTGCGTAGCATGTGCAGCGCCCCCTCCATGGATGGGACATCGCGACGCCGGCGACCGGCGACGGTCGTGCTGACCGCGGCCCCCGCGGTACCAGCCGCGAGTGTGGCGAACATGGCTCCCAAGACCGGCAAGAAGATGATTCCTGCTCCGAAGATGATGATCAGCGGAACCCAGTAGATGAGATCTGAGAATCCCTGCAAACGATGGGGTCATCACTAGTCAGTAATATCCTAGAAAAGTGTTGTATGGTCCAACTAATATTACAGTAATACCCGAGTTCCTCGCACGTATTAAGTGAAATGAGGTATTCAGCAAAGCCCTCGTACGAATAAAACAACCTTCAAGACCAACTCAGTAATATTTTTCGAAATTTGGCCAAACGGTCAACCAGCATGCCCCCCTCCCCCTCTAACCGCACCCCTCTAATCTTCCCCATTAATGCAATAAACTTATTATAATCCCAATTCATCAGCAAACCTGTAGTACGACTGCCGATTAAATCTGGCTCAGTTTACTGTCGGCCTGCCTCAATTTATTTCGTTGACTCCCAGTAGATGATGGCGTTATGTTGAATCAGTCCATTGTCGATTGCGTGGTGCTGCTGAAAAAGGCAAAACGAAATACCATTCCCATTTTATTGAAGTTTCTTGTTTCCCTCAAAAGACAGACATAGTCTCGAATATTCTGCTGCATAGTCCGCTGCCCGTTAAAAATAGCAGGACACATTCCTGCAACAAAGCTCTCTGCTCACCATAATTGGGGGATTTCTTCTCTCCAGAGTTCGCTCTACACTAAAGTGACAAGAGTGGAGGGCTTTGAGAGATGGGTTTTTCATGTTCTTAGCATTAGTACCCACACGACAGCGAAGAGCCGTCTGTGGAAAAAACAGTGAAAAGGAAAGCGCGCGGCGTAGAGACGAGGAGATTAGAGAAGGACAAAGGCGAGAGGGCGGTGACGTCACGGGGCGGAAGCCAACGCGCGCGCGGATGCTGGGGCGAGTTCTAACTTGCAAGTGTGCGGTGCGCGTACGCCTTGGTTTGTGCTACAAAATGGAGTGTGAACCAAGTACTAGAGCTGGTTCAAGCAGGCGGCAAAATAAGACGGATTGCGAACGAAGGAGACAAGTAGAAATTACAGAGAAGATGCAAGCGAGCTGGTGAACTTGTAACGTCGTAAAACCCGAGACGTAGGACAAAAAAAAAAAGAGAGGGGGGGGGGGGGGGGGGGGCGGAGGACGGACTGCCGAAACCGGCGAATAGCGAAAGCAGCGTCAGGCAGAATCTTCCATGTGTCGTCAAAAAAAGAAACACAACGTATAATCTGTCCTCGAAAAAAAAAAAAAAGATTCACAGCATACGTCACAAAACACCCTTCTAAAAGAGATTTCCAAAAAAGAAACCCTAAAGCCGAAAAAAAAAATTAAAGGAAGATCCACTGGTGGATCATTAGGAAATACGTTAGCATGACCCCTGGGATGCATAACACGCGTCCCCCTTTAGGAAACGCTAACACTGACCCCATCCGAAGCCAAAGAGAAAACAGCAAAAATAGAGGAAGCAAAATAGAAAGCCAAAAGAGAAAAGCGAAGGGATCAGCGCTAGCGTTTCCCAAAGCGGGACGTGTGTGGAATTTTTCAATGGTCATGCAAACGCATTCCCTAGAAATTTATCAATGAATCTTCTTTTATTTGTTTTTAACCGGCAACAAACTACAGTGTGGTAGACACGGTAATGTAAAACCACAGAGTTACATATTTCGCTTAGCCGTTTCTGGATGCTTAGAGAGTCTCATCTAAAAGCTTCGTGGAAACGCGTATACCATTGCGAAGTCATACTTAGGACAAATTGGTTGTGCTAAATAAATGTTTAAATATGTTACCCTAGGAAAAGTACCGAAACAAAGTGGTACCGTGTCGCTTTAAGCTGACAATTAATCTTCGCCCACCTTGTCATAGCCTCCTTGGTAGAGGTCATAGTACCCATGGCTTTTGGAACTTCTGGGTTCAGAGGCGGCGGCACCCTGCGTGACATCGGGCTTCTGGTGACCTGGTGTTCTGTTCGGTGTCACCTTGCCTGTTCCCCTGTCTTGAGGGTGTTTGGGTACTCCGGTATTGTATGCCTCCAGCAGCGGGCTGACCAGCAGCAAGAGAGCCAGCACCGCTGGCGGCGCGCTGGATGCTTCGTTGGATCAAACATGAATCATGTCATATGTGTTACTTATACAGGTTCTCTTTCCAAGAAGTTGAAATACAGCCCTTTCTGTAGGGATGAGTATTATATAATGCTTTTCTGTGGAATAGGAAACGAGTCTGTGCAGAACATTTCCATATAATAATCGTCACCACATATATACTTAACCAGGGTGTGACGCTTCAATCCAATTCAAGGAATGGTCAATAAATGATCATAGCGATAACCACATCAAGATTTCTGATCAGGTGAGTCTATTCAGGATTATATGGAATAAGGGATATATTTCCGTCCTCCTTCGAGGTGCAGAACAAGCGGTGACAACAGTTGTCTAAATCTTTCGTGGGTTCCTAAACTATATTCACAAAAGAGCGGCATATTCGGTTTGAAATCGGGGTCATTGAAGTATTAGTTGAGCTTCGATTTGGAGCTATAATGCATCATGAGTTGTTCTTTTTTTCTAGGCGCATTAAGAGAAAGATTAAGAATATCAATGACACTTTTCTCTCCTTCCATATCGTAATTCGAAAGTATAACCCACTGCTTCCAGTCACTGCTCAAACGTAGACGCGATTTCACGCCCTAAATGTTTTCTTTCGACTGATTATTTTGCCATCAATAGAACTCGTGCCTTAAGTGTAATACGCAATACATTCAAGAAATACTGTAATACCCAGACAGAAACTTTCCAGATGCATTAAATTCCAGAAAGCTTGCTTAACCAGGGGTTCAAGAATATGAAAATAGCATGTTCTAGAAAATAATTTGCGTATGTTCTGTAGCATATATAACAATAAAGAATCAAAACATTTATTGTTTATTATATTACTTTAGTTTTCCTGTAGTAGAGGGTTCTCTTTTAAATAAATTAAATTGGCCTAGAACGTTTAGTTCTCCGCGAATTCAAATAATTCTGGCTGACGCATTCAGGGCCCGCAGTTGTAGTTAATTATTAATTTCTAGAATTTCAATGACACCCCTACATACCTTTTTCTATTTTATAGTAATGCTCGCTAGCTCCTGATTTAATAAAATAAGAATGATCTACTTAAACTTAGACGTTCCAAACCTAACCTAATGATTACTTAACTCCCCCGCTAGGACTATCCTATAAAAATGCTGCTGTAATAAGTTATTCTTATAAAAATTAACGGCTAAACATGTAAAAACAATTTGACATATTTCATCATTTTGATTTAGATACTCAATCTGCCAAAGGCTTAGTCGGATATCCTGCATACGAACTAAGTGATTGAATCATAATTTATATGAAAAACACTCTTATCGGATATTAAAACGTTTCTATAAATTTAACAGAACGAAAAGTAGCACCAATAAACAAAAGGAGACGCGTGAGACGAGCATCTGCTTACCCATGCTGGTATCCAAACCCCGAAGCGTCACGCGTTTCCCAAGAAGTCGTCCGCTCTCTTCGCCCCCGTGCCTTATATAGAAGCCCCTCTCGGACAGGCCGCCATTGGAGAACACCGGAGGACCCGGATCCCCGCGGACGTCGTCGAAGTGAGCGAGCGAGCGGGCTAGCGACGACACAGCGGCCCGTCCTGGATCTGTCGCCGCCGCCAAGACGTGTCTCTTCCCCCTCCCACCATCCGCAGCAATCGGCATTCACCAGCGTCGTATTCAGCCACGCATTCAGACCTTGACAGTGGTCTCGGTTCCTTGAACGCCGCTAGGGGACGCTGACCCGGACTGCACGGCCGTGGAACACGTCACCGCGCACGGTCCTCCCTTGCAGTGGCTGCTGCGGGCTTCTACCAGAAGTCTCTGGTCCGTGAGAGAAAGTACAGCCGCCGTCGGCCGGCTTGACCGTTGCTGCGTTGCAATCGCGGATCTCTGCAGCATGGTGGTCATGATACGGGAGGCAATTCAGCGTGGGCACCGGCTGAGACGATTCCTGGTGTCGTCTTAGATTATTAAAAAAACGGCCCCTGTGAATCTGTTTGAGTGTCCGCGTGAAACGGGAGGGGAAAGTTGTGGTCGCCCGATGCGCTGGATGCTCGCGTCCAAAAGGCGTCTCCGTGGTATGAGGAGGACTTGGCGGGTATGTCGTGCGAGACTGTTCGCACCGCAGGTAGAGATAATATACTCGTCTACAAGTTCCTCCTTGGGTTATGAATTCTTGGTTATCAAAAAAAAAAATACGTGTCTTTTTTTTTTATTGAAGCTTGTTCTTTTTGTGTGTGTTTTTTTTTTTTTTTTTTTCTGCACCGAATTGTAAGGTAAGAGCTGTTTCTTGACAAGAAAAACTAAAGACGTTTTTTCAGCTCATCGTATCTGCACCGAACCTTTAACTGCAATTTTTACAATACAATTGGCGCTGTCTCTGTTAATAATTTTTACCAAATGAGTGTATACAATAGCTCACATCTTGGCCAAGTGAATTGCAGAAAAATAATGTAACCGGCGATTATTCTGTGTAGTCCATGCATGCTTCTTCGCTCTGCCGTACCATAGCTTATGTTTATCAATTGTTTTAAACACTTTGACTGATATTAAAATATCTGTTTTATCTTTGGGCTACTTTGCGGTCAACTGAAAGAGCATCTAGTTGTTAATTTTCTTTATTATCAGTTTATAGTTTATATAAAATTAAAATTTGTTATCACCTCCACGGAGAAATTTCGTATGTCAGTGGTTGGTCAAAACCTAATTCATGCAAAATTGGGACAGTTAAAAAAATGCTGCTATTACAATCGCAGGCCTTAAAACATCATAAGATAAGTTGAATGACCAACGAGTAAATATTAAAAGCTACTAGGAACACGCATCGTGCGGAACCTGATAACAAAAATGATAGAACGTTAATGCCATAAGACACGATATTAGCTAGATTTGGATCATGATACAGAAAACAGCACCTGCACACAGAAGAACACAAGACGGTACGTTAAAAAAAGACGTCAAGAGAATGTATAGTCCGGCTTCGCACTTCACGAGTAACCAATGCAAGGTTAGAAAAAGAATGTATATATATATATATATATATATGAACAAATATGTGCAGATGAATGAACCGTACTTAATCCAATGAATCAAAGAATCAAAGTTTCCACGAACCCGCCGAAAGCCAAAAATTGGCGGAGCCAGGATCCTGGCTCCGCCAATTTTTGGCTTTCGGCGGGTTCGTGGAAACTTTGATTCTTTGATTCATTGGATTAAGTACGGTTCATTCATCTGCACATATTTGTTCATATCCTCCTCGGAGACCACGTACGATGACGTGAAGTGCCCGTGTTGTATACTCAATAACGTGGCTCTTGATTCTCGCAGATGATGATGATACCGTGTCTCTAAAAGCTCATAAACAAAGAATATTACATGTGCACGGGGCGAGACAAACAGTGGGAGGATTTCTGGAGCACAAACGAGCACGTACCACGTGACACTAAGCGTCGTACCGCGTTCCACGCGGCGGCGTGTGTTTCCAGAACACCTCCGATTGGATACATTTCGTTTCTTGTGCATTAATAAGACAGGTAGGAAACGCCAGAAAGCCAAGGTGGAGTGGTGTAGTGGTTAGCACACCCGACCGGACATTGGGAGGCCCAGAGTTCATATCCTGGCTCCGCCAATTTTTGGCTTTCGGCGGGTTCGTGGAAACTTTGATTCTTTGATTCATTGGATTAAGTACGGTTCATTCATCTGCACATATTTGTTCATATCCTCCTCGGAGACCACGTACGATGACGTGAAGTGCCCGTGTTGTATATATATATATATATATATATATATATATATATATATATATATATATATATATATATTCGTGTAAGGTGCTCACTAGCCTTCAGGAGCACTCGATAAAGCATCACAGAGTGAAAACCGGCATACACATGCAGCGCCGCGTTCAAGTAGCGCCAAGTCAGTGCAGCATGGGCGCCAATGTTACCGCTAATTCAGCGCTGAATTAAAGCTGTGTTATGTCTGGCAATAGGAAAAGGTCCAATCACATTCGACGGCGTGTTAATGCAACGCTGGTATAAAGCAAAAAACACAGGGCTGTAACTATGCCACTGAGTTAACGATCCGGTGTATGTGTGAACGGGCCATCACGGAAATATCAAAAAGTATTGCAATGCCGAGTTCAGATTTTCTAGGCATTGCGCCAATTTGTTACCCAGACATATCGCGTATAAAACGAAGAACAGTGAAGACACTATTTAAAAATAGGACAGTATCTCGTATTACCCTTACTGCGCCTGTGCCATCTTTGTTCAACAACGGGAAAACCCAAACGTTAAAAATGGCTGCCTGTCTTTGCGCTGATAGAAATGTTTGCTGCGTCGTTATAAACAGAACATTCGTCCCATACGTTTTATTTTAATCTTTGCGTGAGCTTCTGATATTAAAGTTGATGCTGTTTTTGTTGTTTTGGGGCTTTTTTTTATTTAATTAGGCAGCTGTGCAACACTTTTTTGGTCGCTTAAAAACTTTCAACGTGCGGGGACCGGTCTAAGTAAGGGGACACCGCGGCAAATGGTTCACCCATAACGGCTAAATCACGGAATATCCACACTCTCCGACCCTTAAATATGGTCAGATGAGGTTATGAAATTATACAAATGATACCTATATTAAAAAGACTCATGCCCTCCAAATCACACTCCGTTACATTAAGTTATAAGTGCTTCATATGCGTCAAGCTGCTGTCATTTAAATGATCGCAAATGTTACTCACCATATGCGTCCTTGCACACTTCAAGAGGCTAGACTGGCTACACTGGTAGCATTCGAAGATAGTGTGATGTATCTCATAGACTCCAACTACTAGATTTAGAAACAGCCTTTTGGACACGCGAACAGAAATGAAAGATAAGTTTATCACTTTCCTAACATACAAACAATGACGTTCAAATGTGCTTCACACGCAATAAATACGTCTTTCAAAATCTAAGTAACACGGGAATATTACCACGTGCCCTCGATCTTATCAACTGTCGAGCTTTTAACGGGGCAAGCGAACAGCTCGATTAACAACTGCAATTTTCAAGCACTACCTACGCAATGTCACGCCCACAATCCCCAGCATCCCCTTTATACGCCACCGCATCATCCGCCATCAACGTTCGCCGCCGTGGAACAACGCCCAGACCGTGGTATATACATTTCATCCCATCACGGGTCACTTCCAAAAGAGCACGACAAGTGGGCGATGTCCCTCCCGGCAGCGGCGGACCGCGAAACCCTCCGAACCTGACCACCGTAACCGATATTGTCTTCCGATGCTCCCCATCCCTACAATACGACCCCCACGGACGAAATTAATCGCGGCAGCGCTCGGGCAAGATTCGTGTTCGCCGCTAATCAAACAGGCCAAGACAGACGCGCAGCGGCGTGTCCCGTATCAGGTCCCCGTCGTGCATCCCTCGACTCTGCCCTTTGTCCGAAGAACAGACCGCCATTTGTCCGCGCCGTAGTAGCGTTCTCCCTGCTGGAGTGTCTCTGCTCCAAAAATCCAGTGCGTTACCAAGGGCGGCCATTGTTGGGACAGGTCTCCTACCGCTGAGCGATGCACGTGTCCCTGGGCTTTGTGGCGGCGGCCATGGCTCGCTGACCAGGTGTGAGATCTCGATAGAGCGTGGCATCACTTCTTCCGGAAGGTGGCCTGCGCTCAGGAAACGACGCCATGACGTCGACCCCCCTTGCCTCGAGGATGTTCGTGGTCTTTGGTTCTGCAGAACGAGACCACGCCTCTCGTTTCGGACACTTCTCTAGTGGGGTGCTGGCTTCCGTCTGGGCGTCCCCCGGGGTCGTTCCGATTTCCGACACGGATCTCATTAGCCCGTCTGGTGCGCGTTCCTTCAAGCGTCTCACACCGCTGGCCCCGTGACGCGAGTTTAGTCCGTCTCGGGTGCAGGGGTGACGGGTGCCGTCTAACAGTTGTTGGTGGCAGGAACGGGTGTCATCTTGCCGGCGGGCAAAAGGTAAGCGTGTTTGTTTTTGCTTCCTTTGCGCAGATTCGTTAATGTGTCTCTTGTAAATTACAGAGGGTTAATTGTGGTTTGTTCGGCGTTAATCTTCTCGGAAGAAACACGTGGAAAAGATTCTAGAGGACACTAAACATGGATCGTAGAAGAAAATCGTAATATATCACTAAAATGGGTTTTCAAACATAAAAAGCGTTTTAGTGGGTGGACCTCAATATTTCTCCGAGGTTGTTCTCAAATGTACTCAATCTTCTTTTTTTTTTATCTAGGTGGCAGAAACGGATGTTTTGCCGTTTCCTTTCTTTGGGTTATATTCGATACAGCATTTCATTGCCGTCAAAGTTCTGTCGCATCTTTATTGAATGGGAATAAAATCTAACATCAGCACTAACGTAATATTTGTCCAAAGGCACGCAACTGAGCTTCCTC